TTCAAATTGGTGTTTCAGGATTCTTAGGATTTATTCCCAGAAGTGGGATCACTGGGTGAGAGGGCAATTCTATCCTTGTAACCATTACTTTGAATTTTTACCTGATAGATTGCTTGCCTCCATTTCATTTAGTTCTTTTTCTGGGGATTCCTCCTGTTCTTTTATTTGGGGCTTGTTTCTTTGTCTCCCCGCTTTGGCTGTCCCTTTGTATTTGTTTCTATGTATTAGATCATCTCTGACTCCCACCTTGGTGGCCTTATGTAGTAAGTGTCCTGTGGTACCCAGTGGTGTGTCCTCCTATCTCCTGAGCTGGGTGCTCCAGTAACATCCCTTGTGTGGGTCTTGTGGGCTCTCCTGTTGCAATTGAGTCTTGATTGCTGCTGGCTGGTTTGTGCATGGGGATCGACTCTCAGGCTGGCTGGTTGTAAGGCTCAACCCTGACAACAGCAGCCTTGATGTGCCACCTTCTGCAGATCCTTGGTTCTGAAACTTCAGCCAGTCTTCAGTTGGTCATTCAGGGTGAGTGTTTTCCAATTTAGTTGTGTTTCCAGTTTGGTTCTGGGAGCAAGATCTACCTATTCTGCTGCCAACTTGAAAAGTCTGAGGAGATTATGTTTTTAAGAAGATTATTTTAACAAATTACTGGATCTGGGAAAATATAAGTGTTAAAAATTGATTTTAGAGAGGAAGAGAGGAAGGAAGGGGGGAGAGAAACATTGATTTGTTGTTTCACTTATTTGTGCATTCATTGGTTGATTCTTGTATGTGCCCTGACTGGGGATTGAACCCACACCGGCCATGTTGGGATGGTGCTCTAACTCAGGAGACCACAGCCCTTGGTCCGTGGACCATAGCTGGGCTCTAGAGCAGGAAGTGAGTGGCAGGCAAGCAGGTGAAGCTTCATCTGTATTTGCAGCCGCTCCCCAGCTCCCCATTGCTTGCATTACTGTTTGAGCTCTGCCTCTGCGTCCTGTCAGATCAGCAGCAGCATTGGTTCTCATAGGAGCAGGAACCCTATTGTGAACTGTGCAAACTTGTGAGAATCTAACACCTGATGATCTGAGGTGGAACTGAGGCGGTGATGCTAGTCCTGGAGAGCGGCTGCAAATACAGATTATCATTAGCAGAGAGGTTTGACTGCACAGAGACCATAATAATAAATCAGTTGCTTGCAGACTCATATCAAAGCCCTATCAGTGAGTGGCAAGGGACAATTAAGCTGCGTCTGGTAGCAGGCTATATATAAAGCCATCTCCCCTCTGCCCCGCCACATCCTTGGAAAAATTGTCTCCAAAAATCAGTCCCTGGTGCCAAAAAGGTTGGGGACTGCTCCTCTAACCAACAGACCTACCCAGCTAGGAACTATATAAGTGTAATTTTAAAAATGATTAGTATTTTAAAATATTTTAAGACCACTGAGCAGAACTAATGAAATAGAGCAATAAGAAAATTATCATTGTAACTGAAAAAGGGAAGTACTTCATTACCTTTAAATCCAATCAGTGTAATTTGTTCTTCTAATTACCCTTTGATTCAGAGCGGCAGCCCCTCAGTATAATTTGGCATATTCTTTCCAGGCTTTTTCTGTGTGGGTTTTTTTTTTCCCCCCCATAGTTCACGTTATAGTGCATATAATTTCATATCTTGTTCTTTTAAATTCATATAATTTTTCTGTCTTGATATTATTCCATACTTAAAAGTGTCATTTTAAAACCAAATGATACACAAGTTAAGACTTCAGTTCCACTGGAGCTGTTCAGATTCTTTTGTTCCACCAGAGTATCTTCTCTGTCTCTCTCTCTCCTTTTTTTAAAATTTTTTTGCTTGAAGTAGGTGTTTTTGGATATTAAACACCTTTAAACAAAAAGATTCTCATTGTAGTAATATTTGACCTAAATTGCTTTTTTCCCCTGCTCCTGTTGTTTGTTTCATCAAATTTAGTACAAGGGTTAGAAGAATGTAGTAGCAGGACACAGCTTGGGGCTTAAAAATGTTTTTAAGTTATTATATATTCTCCCATTCATATCAAAATTAGGGAAGAAGCTATCGCTGAGAATTAGTGAGTCTTTCCTTCATTTATTGACCATGTTGTTTTTCTTTTTCTCATCCTTCTTAAATTACTTAATTTAGACATTTTTAAAATTTAAATAATTTTTATTTTTTAGTTACAGTTGACATACAATATTATATTAGTTTCAGGGGTACAACCCAGTGATAAGACATTGTATGACTTCTAAGTGGTCAACCTGACAAATCTTATACCCATCTGACACCATACATAGTTATTACAATATTATTGTATATTCCTTGTGCTATATTTTACACCCCTGTGACTATTCTGTAGCTACCAATTTGTACTTCTTAATCCCTTCACTTTTTTCTCTTATCCCCTGAACCCCATTCACATCTGGCAACTGTCAAAATGTCCTCTGGATCTATGAACCTGTTTCTTTTCTGCTTGTGTGTGTGTTTTTTAAAATTCATTTGTTGATAAGTACATATTTATTGCCATTTTATTATTCATTTTTCCTTTTGGAAAAGCGTTAAAAGTAGCCATTGTATAAGGTAGTTTCCTTTTTTTTATTATTACTTAAATAAAGGTAACAATATAAAGAATGCGTGGAATGCTTAATGAAGGCTGGTATACTGAGAGCTCTCAGCTACTAAGTTATAGAAAGCTTAATATTGTTGAAAGTTAACATTCACACTAGTTAATTTGTCCATGATGCTTTGAAGATAAACAGTAATAGAGAAGGGTATGAGCTGGAAGCGTAAGCATGGAACTGAGTCAGGATCACAAGATTGGAAGTGACTTCTGGTCTTTTGTGGCTATGTACCAAGTCACTTGATCACTCTGCTTTTTTCCTTTATTTACTAAATAAATACCACTAATTTAATAGTTATAGCTGACAATTTTTTTCTATATGCCAGGCTAAGTAACTTTTAATCAACTATCAGCTAATTATTATGAACTACTTACTAGTTACATGTTAGAAAAATAATACAGCATTTTGTGTAATGAGAGCTGTTTTCAATTTCATTTGTAGTTGGTTGCTAACGCATTAGGATGTGCCTGTTTGTAACTTTCCTGCTGTTTTATGCAAGTTGAATTGATTTTTCTAGATATAGTAGTAGAGGCATTCTTGTAAAAAGCAGTAGTTTTGGTCTTTTTCTGTGTTGTAGAACTGTTAGAAGTACTTGAAGTAAATTAAAACTATTTTAATTAAGAAAAATGGGAATAAGGGAGTTACCTGCTATACCCTCAAAGGAATCATGATTCCTGGAATTGAAGACTGTCCTGAAACCTGGAGAGAGGCAGCCAGATCTGTGGGTGTGGACTTCATCTGGACTGTGGGTCGGAGCCAGGACAGGACTGGGAGTAGTGACAAAACACTTCATCGTGTCTGCAGTTTTAGAGGCTGAACTTTAGTTTTTATTGATCCATTAGCCTCCTTTTCTAAATATAAATATTATGTTGAAAGGTATGGGTATTTTGTGTATGTGTATTTTGGTGGAAGTAGGAATGAAGTCCCTCTCTACCTCATGCAGTAGCTATCAGTAATATTAAAGTGTTAAGTGGAAAACTTGTTTAACAATTGGAATTGGACAGTAAAAATACAAGAGAAATAAATAGCACAGAGAACAAGTTTCCTCTGTGATTTCCAATGGTAAATATGAGAAAACTGCACATTTCTCCATTCTAGCGGATTTTCTGTTCTTTTTCATAAGATGTTCAAATGACTAGATGCCACCTTTAATGACATGATCATTTTCTCTATTCTGCCATAAATTGCATCAGTACTGTTATATCTGTAGTGAGGGTAGTCTGAAGATGTAATGGGAATAAACAAATACTGGTTTTAGATCATTATTTATTATCAAAGGAGTTGTAGATAATTTTGAAAAGCACATGGAGGAAATTAATGAGTCATACTTCTAATACTAATAGATAAATCATTGGTGCATTTTTTCCAGTCTTTTTTCTATGTATTATAAAATTAGCTCTCAATTAAACTGAGTAATGGATTGAGGGCAGGGAGGACCTTTAGAGATAATCATGGGTCATGGTTAAAATTACAGGCCAATCATCTTTATCTAGGGTTGGCTCGTGTTAGGGAACTGGGACCTCTGCTGACTTAGGTAACAAGGCAATGGGGTTAGTACTGATAGGTATCCCCTGGAGGGATTAGGGTCATAGCTTTGTGGCCGGGTTGATGTCCTGGCAAAGGGGGAGGTCAGGGGTTGGACTTCTGGATTTTCCACCCCTTGCTGGAACCAGAAGAGCCTTAAAATGTCTGGGTTTGGTCTGCATAGGCATTTCATCAGCTGTAGCCAAATTGTAGAGCTGCTAAAGTAAAAAAATGTGTCCCAGTTCCTGCCACACCACAATAAACATTAATTTAAAAAACCAGATGATCTCCCAGTAACTGAGAGTTCAAACAGAATATATAGGTCTGTATCCTTTCTATATGAAATAGTTTTTTATTATGATTTCAGTATAATGGTAATGAATCATCTTGAAATTGTAAGATTGGTTCAGGTTGGTATGGCTGTCCTAATTGGGGAACCTGTTAAATTTTGCTTGTAACAACACTTAAGAGAAACAGGAGCTAGCAAGATTGGCAGTGGGTTTATTTGTGGGATAAATAGCCCAAATAATTTAATATTTAACAGTTCCAGAAGTGGACTGACACTTCTCTGTCAGATACATAAAGGGACTTCAGAAGCTCTATTTGGGAAATTTGCCATATGTGAGTCTCCATATATAGGCTGTTTCACTTTATGTGGTTCATTCATGGTATGTGTGTATTAAGTGTAATAGAGGTGTCTTTTTTTTTTTTTTTTTTTTAAGTACAACTTCCTAGAATATATTAGATCTTTGGAAGAAGCTTGACTACTTGTTTCATTATAGATATGTGCAGCTGGAATACTAATTTATTCTTGTAATAACTTAAAAATGGAAGTTATTACATGTTAACTAATATCCCTTTCTTTTCCAGTTTCTCTTCAGCAACGGGTAGCAGAATTGGAAAAAATTAATGCAGAATTTTTACGTGCACAGCAGCAGCTTGAGCAAGAATTTAATCAAAAGAGAGCAAAATTTAAAGAGTTATATTTGGCTAAAGAAGGTAAGTTATGTCTTCCCATAACCCCTATACTAAAACTGCCTTAAAAATGTCAGGTTTCCTGGTAGTACAAAGTTGTCATTGAATAAACCTTGATTTTTATTTGTACTTACATTGTATAATAAAAGCCTGTTTAGAGGTAAAGGTTAAAAATGGAACTGAAGAATAAGCGAAAAATGTATTATTCAGATTTTTCCTTCTCTTTTAACCTTAATGATGGTATTTAATATAGTAGTGGGCTATTATAGTTCTGGGACACAGGACTTTCAGTTCTCTTAATACTTGAGAGATAACCCCAGGACTGTTGGCATTCTAATAATAGCTTCAGCCATGTTATGTTAAAACTGATAGTTCATGAAATTTATCCAACACATGTTCAATTATTTATTGATAAATATTTGTTTAATACCTACTGTGAGGCAGACATTATGTCCAGGTGCTGCGTATATAGAAGGAGCAAGAGTCATGTATTTCTTTAACTCATAGAACTTGAACTTTAGTGAGGAAAATAGATATTAAATAATTGTGAGTTGTTTTTTAAAAAGCAGATTTATGAGAGCGTATTATGAATGACCTGATCTGAAGGATAAGGGAAAGGGTTTACATTTTGGATACTGAGCTAGGAAAATAGGGTATGTTTTTCACAGCCCTCTAGACCGGTGGCTTTCAAACATTAATGTGGATAAAAATCACTTAGAGCCCTGGCTGGTGTGGCTCAGTGGATTGAGCACTGGCCTCTGAACTGAAAGGTTACAGGTTCGATTCCTGGTCAGTGTGCATGCCTGGGTTGCGGGTCAGGTCCCCAGTTTGGGGTGTGTGAGAGGCAACTGATTGATGGTTTCTCTTGCACATGTATCTCTCCCTCTTTTTTTCCCTCCCTTCTCATCTCTCTAAAAATACATAAAATCTTTAAAAAAAAAATTGCCTGAAGAGCTTGTTAGAACATGGTATGTTGGGGAGGAGCCTGAGAATTTGCATTTCTACTAAGCTCATAGATGACTGTGGTTTGAGAACCACAGCTCTAGACTAGTGATCATCCAACTTTTAAATATATGTTTATTTCAAGTTTAAAGCTATGTGAAGGATGTAAATTCTATCATATTGTCAACGTTGACAATTTAAATTGCTCATGGTGTAGAATTCTGAATACTGAATTTAGATTGCTAGTATTTTGTTGGGGATTTTTGCATTATATGCATAAGGAATATTCATCTGTAGGTTTTTTGTTTTTTGTTTTTATTTGCTCGTGATACCTGTGTTGGTTTTGGTAATCAGGGTAATACTAACCTCACAAAATGACAGCCATGTTCACTTTCAGCACTTCTCTTCACCATTGGACTGGAAGTTCTGTCCAGGGCAGTTAGCCCTCCTCCCTCACACCCAGTAAGAGTAATTCAGATTGGAAAGGAAGAAATAAAGCCATTTCTATTCCCTGATGACATTTTTAATATATAATATTGTATGGACTCCACTAAAAACTTTTTGAACTAATATACAAGTTAAGAAAGGTTGCAGGATGCAGTATCAGTATACAAAAACCAGTTGTTATTTCTATCATACTTGCAATGAATAACCTGAAAATGAAATTTTAAAGAAACAATTCCATTTATAATAGCACCAAAATGAACAATATACTTCAGAATAAATTTAACAAAATAAGTGCAAAAACTTGCACTCTGAAAACAAACATACTTAAAGATTTTAAAAAGAACTAAATAATTGGAGAGACATACCATGTTCATAAATTGGAAGATTTAATATTGGCGAACTCCCCTGATCTACAGATTTGATGCAGTGTCTTTAGTGTCTCAGTTTTCTTTGTAAAAATTTATAAACTGATCCTAAAATTTATATGAAAAAGCTAGGGAGCCAGAATAGCCAAAACAGGACCCAGTCTTCCTTCATCCTCTTTTTATGGCTTTCAACTATGGAAACACGCCAAAAATTAATGTTTAGGTTTGGTATTTGTAGTTTTTCTGTTCAAATTGACAACATTGTGGTGAATAGCTCTGGATGATTTCCAATAAGTCAAAAAGTTGCAGGGATGAGGAGGTGTTAATTATATAAACTTGAGCCTCAACAAAATTGTAGGTCTCAGAAATGAATAAAGTATTTCAGAAATAATGCTTTTGCTTTTATTTCACATTATCCAAAACGGTTTATTAACCCTTAGAATATGGAGTACATACGCACACTTTTCTTCTTTGGTTTCATGTATTTATGTCTTTACTTCGTCTCTGGGTCATTCTTAGTTACATACTTACCATAATTTCTTAAGTGTTAGTTTTTCCTTCAAGATACTTTAAATAATTACTTTCTGCAATTAATGTTCTTGTAATTGTCTCTGGCTAGTGTTTCAAATATTCCTCTTTTTTTTCAAAGATTAACTTATTTTTAGTGGGGGGGAGGGAGGGAGGGAGAAAGAGAGGGAGAGAAACATTGATATGTGAGAGATACATTGATTAGTTGCCTCTTGCATACCAACTGGGGACCCAGCCCACAACCCAGGCACGTTCCCCTAATGGGAATTGACACCATGACCTTTTGGTTCACAGGTGGACACTCAATCCACTGAGCCACACCAGCCAGGGCTCAAAATATTTTAATAGTGGGGACAAAATGATGTGAAACTGATGTTGAGAGACTAAAGATTTCTTAAGTGACTTAAAATTAGCATGACTAAGTTTTTCCCTTGTTATTTAGACTACCAGGTTGTTAATTTTTGTGATTGGTAATCATGAATGTCTTCACAACTTTTAAAAGTACTTTAATTAATATTATCTATTTGATTTTTTCAGATACTTAGAAATGTATGCAGAAGAGTCTTTCCAATATCCTGGCTTAATTGCTTGTGATTCCCTTAAAGTCATACAGCTGGTACTCAGTAGAGTTAGATCTCAAATCCAATTGCTTTTATGGCTAGTTGACTTAGTTATTGACTCTTCTCTGAAGGATATTGATGACTTTGAAAAGATGAACAGTTCTTTTGCATAAATGTCTCATAACTTTTAGATGTTGATAGATAAGAAAAAGTTGAGATAAGGGTAGCAGACAGGGAAAAGTTATGTAAGAAAAAATAGAGTTAATATCCAGTATATATAAAGTATTTCTTCCAAATTAGAAGAAAAACAGTTTATTATAAATACAAGTGGAGAATATGACCAAAGAGGAAATACTGGTCATTAATAATTATATGAAAAGATATTCAACCTCTCTATTAATAGACTAATAAATGTTGAAACTATTACCATTTTCTACCCGTGATGTTGGCAGAAATTTTAGAAAATGGAAAATAGTGATTATTGCTAAGGGTATGGGAAACAGACACATCCCTATGTACTGTCGGTAGGTTCATCTTCTTTGGAAGATGGTTTAGCCCAACATATACCCTTCCTAGGCTTAAATCATGTCATAGACACACCAGGTAATGTTTAAGAGGTGGTAAGGGAGTACTGAGAAATTAATTCTAACTTTAAAAACTTGTATATTGTAACTGCCATGATTCTTTTATTAACCATTTCTTGAGTGTTTACTTGTGTGAGGTACTGTACTAGTGAGCATTTTCAATAAATTGTTTTATCGTTAAAACAACCTTCTGAGATGGGAATGTTTATCCCCATTTTGTAGATGTGGAACTGAGGCGATGGAGGTTAAGTAAGGTCATTCAGCCAGTGGGTAGAAGGTTAAATTTAGGTCTATAATTAAGGCCTTAATCCTTATCTGATTACATAATTAATAATTTATTTATGATACTCAGCATACCTTAAATTTTACCTTTATTAAAATGATTTTATTTTCTTTATTAACATTTTCAAATTTAATGCTTAACTTCTTCATTACAATGTTACCATTATAAATTTGATGCTTTGTTTCTTCATGGCAGTGCCAGCTTGATAAATGTGAGTCCCTTATTAACAGAAAGTTCTTTACTTTTTTCCCAGAGGATCTGAAGAGACAAAATGCAGTGTTACAAGCTGCACAAGATGATTTGGGACACCTTCGAACACAGCTGTGGGAAGCCCAAGCAGAGATGGAGAACATTAAAGCCATTGCCACAGTCTCTGAGAATACCAAGCAAGAAGCAATAGATGAAGTAAAAAGACAGTGGAGAGAAGAAGTTGCTTCACTTCAGGCTGTTATGAAAGGTAAAGGAAAAGAAAGTTAGATCTGTTTTATAATTTTCTAAGATCTGATTCTGATGATTGAGAACATTTTCAGAGTTTCATTTGTGGCTTTATGTAATACCATCTTCAAGACATAGTGTCATCTTCAAAATAAAAGAGAAGTCAGTCATATCATATATGGGTATATCAACTGTATCTATAACAAATTTAATAATGGAGAATTATTGGTTTGGCCAAAAAATTTGTTTGTTTTTTCTGTAAGATGGCTCCAGTAGCGCTTAGTTGTCTTTAACTTCATTTGAAACCATTTTGTTAGATTGTATTGTGATAGCTGTCATGTCGGTGTGCATTTAAAAAAAAAATTCAAAAGTTGGTGAATATTTGTGAGGCCATTTTAATATTGAAGACGGAAGAAACTAAGCAACATTTTCAGTATATTATGCTTTATTATTTCAAGAAAGGTAAAAATGCAGCTGAAATGCAAAAAAAAGATTTATGCAGTGTATGGAGAAGGTGCTGTGACTGTGACAGTGTTTCAGAAGCGGTTTGTGAAGTTTTGTGCTGGACATTTCTTGCTGGACAATGCTCCACGGTCGGGTAGACCAGTTGAAATTGATAATGATTAAATTGAGACATTAATTGAGAACAGTCAACATTATACCACAAGGGAGATAGCTGGCATGCTCAAAATATCCAAATCAATAAAGTTACTGGTGAAAACAAAAAATGTTGTTTATTTTATGGAAAAAACCATATGGACTTTCTGGCCAACCCAATATAATGAGAGTGGTACAAAGATAGAGCTTTAAATGAGAACTATAGTCTTCATAAGGTTCAAAGTGGATTTTCTTACGAGAGTCAGGCAAGTAATGTTAATGAATAAAGCCGTATGGGCACAGAGAGTCTGTAGGACTGGAGAGACCTCCTTTGCAAAGAGTAAACTTACTATGTAAACGTAGTAGTTACAACTCATTATTGCCCATCCAGTCCAGTGTTGTCATATCTTTTACATTTTTAAGAAAAAATTGGATTTTTGTATGAAATTTTCACTGCAGTTTATGATAGCATGGCCTGTGGGCTTTATGATAGGCTTTATGGGCTGCTGGCTTGTGACCCTTGGTCTAAAGGAAGAGAAGTAATTTAGTCTCTATCTGCTGTTGCCACTAGTGCTTAATTATTTCCTGCAATTTCTGAGAAAGTGATATTGAAGTGATGTTGCCCCTGAATCTTTGGGTTCCCAAAATTAGTTTTATTATAAATGTGAGATAGTGATAATTTTTTCTCCCCAATTTAGCAGTTTTGTGTCATTTTTGCCTTAGTGCTATTTGCAAGAAGTCAGGTTAAGTCTAGCTCTACTTCTGAGTTTGTGGCTATTACCTAGGGATTACTGTGAGACTCTAGCAATGCTGACTATAATGGATTACACAAATAGGAGTTCATTTTACTTACAGAAAAAGAAATCCAGAGGTAGGTGACCTGGAGCTGGTTACAGGGGTTCCACGATGTCCCCAGTGTTCCAGGCTCCTTCAGTCATTCTGTTCCTTCATCCTTATATGTGGTTTCAATCTCATTCGCTTCATGGCTGAAAAGTGGCTTCCCCTCCTTCAGTCTGCCTCAGAAAAGCAAACATTGGCCAGAGTATGTAACCTTTCCTAAGCTTTCCTCATCTGTAAAATAATATGGCACAGGTTTATTCGAAGATTAGGGATGATGATTTAAAGCGCTTAGCAAAATTTCTACACATAGTAAGAACTAGAAATGTAGTTTAGCTTTTTTTAGTGAATTAAAAAATTTCCAGAACTTAGGCAAAAGCTTTTAATAGAACTACCTAAATTTTAGTGTGTCAGAACATTTTTTTTTTTAGACTGTTTAGACTTTAAATATTTGGTGATGTCTTGTAGAAACAGTTCGTGACTATGAGCACCAGTTCCACCTTCGGCTGGAGCAAGAGCGAGCACAGTGGGCACAATATCGAGAATCTGCAGAGAGGGAAATAGCTGACTTAAGGAGAAGGCTGTCTGAAGGTCAAGAGGAGGAAAATTTAGAAAATGAAATGAAAAAGGTATGAAGGAATGTATTTATCTGTAGAAATATTTGAATCCAAATGCAAGGTGCTTTAATATTATTATAGTAATAGAAGATGTACTTTTACATTTTCTGCTGGAGGAATTATTTGGACATAAACCTAAATATAGTACTAGATACCATATTTTGCCATGTATAATGCACACACTTTTTTGCCCAAAGTTTTGAGGGGAAAGTAAGAATGTGCATTATACATGGGTATAATATTCCATGGATAATACTCACAAAATGGTGGTGCGCATTATATATGGGAAAATACGGTAATTTGATGTCCTTCCCCCCATATTTGTGTATGGGAAGCTCCCTCACCTTCCTCAAAATATCTCTTCATGAGGCCTATCCTGACCAGCCTATTTACCGTTACAACCTATCCATCTTCCTTCTGTCACCCTTATTCTATTCTAATTTTTCTTTTTTCATAATGCATATTTTATAATGTAAGTCGCATTCATCTATTTATTATGTTTATTGTTTGCTGTCTTCCTCTCCTTGCTAGAATATAGGCTCCATGAGGAAGGAGTCTTGTTTTTTGTGTATCCTAAATGCCTAGAATAGTATCTAGTACATAGGTAGGTACTTAGTAAATATTTGTTCAGTGAGTGAGGTTGCTTGGTGATGGTGTCTAAACCAAAGCTTTAATTTAGCCTTCTTCCTCAGGATACGTTGATTCCTTTGTGATGAATGTACTACACGTTATGTTTGAGCATATCACCATAAGATGCCTGAGCATAAACCAACTAAATACAAAGTGAAACATTTTATCATTGAGAAAATTTAAAGTTTTTGACCAGCTTGGTTATATAAACTTTTACATTATTAATTTATATGCATATGTATATTTTATGTCTTTTAAATTTAAAAAATTTTTTGTATGTTTTATTGATTATGCTGTTACAGTTGTCCCAAAAGTTTTTTTCCTTTGCCCCCCTCCAACCGGTACCCTCCTGCCCTCCAGTGATCCCCCCCCGCCCCCACCCCTTAGTTCATGTCCATGGGTCATGCACGTGAGTTCTTGGCTTCTACCTTTCCTATACTATTCTTAACATCCCCCTATTTTGTTCCTACCACTTGGGCTTCTTAATCTCTGAACCATTTTGCCCTTTTCCCTCCCAACTGATAACCCTCCAAATGATCCTCAGACCTGTGGTTCTTTTCCTGTTCTGGTTGTTTGCTTAGTTTGTTTTTTGTTTTTGGTTTTGTTTTTATTTTTTAAATTCAGTTGCTGATAGTTTTGGGTTTGTTGTCTTTTTTTTTTTTTAATCACCAAACTGAGTATTTATTTAAATGATATTAATTACAGTCTTTCCTCATGCATGTCCTCCTTCCACTTTCAGAAAGGCTTCTAGAACTTTTGAAAAAGGAAAAGTCTTTTCAATAACTGGCTGAATCTTTCCCTCATCCACCAGTTTTGCAGTGTCATCTAAATAGGGACCGCTGGCCATGAAAAAGGCCCAGTGATTATGGACTTCTTGCCAGAAATGCTTTAATGTCTTAGAACCCATGGTGACGCCAGTCTGCAGCATGCTGTCTGCTATGCCCAATAATAGGTCCATGTTCAGAAGTTCAGGAGAAAAGGAGTCACCAAGGTCACATATGTGGCTCCTGACCATTTCTTGAGTAAATTTAGAGCGCATGTTTCGGTGGATACTGAACCAACATTATCAAGGATAAAATCAAACAGTTCTAAAGATTTCAACTGTTCTTCCACATTTCCAGATTAGTAATCAATTGCATCATCTGCTCAAGGCTTCTTTACAAGCTCACTGGCATCCTGAGAGCAAACTGTTGTCATATGAGCCTTTCGTGCTTTCGTTACCAGTGTAGCTAAGGTACCAACTCCACCTGAAGCACCCAAGAACAAAACACCTGGGCTCCGGCAAAGGTGGGGGCACAGTGGGCTGGAGATGCAAGAGGAGAAACTGGGGAAGGAGGCTTTGGGGAGAGACCTGAGAGAGTAGCCGAAGGGATCCCGGTGCTAACTCATCCTCCAGATGGCAGCAGCCATATTGCTCAGGTAGACCTGTTGTCATTTTAATGGTCATGGTTTTGATCATTTTCTTTTTCTTAAATAAGTCCCTTTAACATTTCATGTAATAATGGCTTGGTGATGATGAATTTCTTTAGCTTTAGCTTGTCTGGGAAGCATTTTATCTGCCCTTTGATTCTAAATGATAGTTTTGCTGGATAGAGTAATCAAGGTTGTAGGTCCTTGCTTTTTATCCCTTTGACAAGTTTCTTTTGAGAAATTAGCTGACAGTCTTACAGGAACTCCTTTGTAGGTAACTCTCTGCTTTTCTTTTGATGATTGTAAGATTCTCTTTTTATCTTTAATCCTTGGCATTTTAATTATGGTGTGTCTTGTTGTGGTTCTCTTTGGGTTCAACTTGATTGGGACTCTCTGTGTTTCCTGGGCTTGTATGTCTCTTTCCTTTGCCAAATTAGGGAAGTTGTCTCATTATTTTTTCAAATGGAGTTCAAATTTCTTTTTCTTTCTCTTCTCCTATTGGCACCCTTATGAAATGAGTGTTTGACCTCTTAAACTGGTCACAGAGGCAGCTTATACTATCCTCAACATTTTTGATTCTGTTTTCTTTTTGTTGTGATTGGTTGTTTTTTTCTTCCTTGTGTTCCAAACCATTGATTTGATTCTGGCTTCATCCACTCTAGTGTTGTTTCCCAGTAATTGTTCTTTATTTCAATTAGTGAATCCTTCGTTTCTGACTGGATCTTTTTTATATTGCTGAGGTCCTCACTAAGTTCCTTGAGCATCCTTATAACCACTGTTTTGAATGCTGCATCTAATAGATTGCTTATCTTTATTTCGTTTAGCTCTTTTTCTGGAGTTTTGATCTGTTCTTTCATTTGGGCCATGTTTCTTTGTCTCCTCGTATTGGCAGCCTCCCTGTCTTTGTTTATATGTATTAGGCAGAGCTGCTTTGACTCTGTGTTTTGGTAGTGTGGCCTAATGTAGTGAGTGTCCTAAAGGGTCCAGTGGCACAGCCTTCCCTGTCATCCAAGTTGGGTACTCGATGTGCACCTTTTGTGTGGGCTGAGTACACTCTCCTTTTGTAGTGGAGCCTTGGTTGCTGTTGGCAAATCAGTGGGAGAGATTTACCCAGGCCAGTCAGCTGCAAAGACTGGCTGTGATCACTGATCACTAATCTCCACCCTCTGCAGTGGATCAGCTGTGCAGGGGCAGGTTGGTGATGCTCTGATGTATGTGGTCTGTAGCTATCCACTGGATGTGTTGGCCCTGGGGTTTCCTGGGTGGTGCAGGCAAAGGTCAGCCCCTGCCTGTGTTTTGCCCGGGGCTGGCCTTCCTGAGCTATGAAGCAATTTGAGAAGGTTGCTACTTGTGCTAGGCTTGGAGATTCCCAGGCAAAGCCAAGCTTTGTGAAACTAATCTGGCTGCTGCTAGTGCCTGGCCTGGAGCTTACTGAGGCCCGTTGTTGCTTGTTTGATAGGATTTAGGAAGTTGTGAAGCAGGAGGCAAGACCCACTATTCCTATAGAAAGGCACTTTGGGTTGGGCAGAGTCTCTGGGGATCTCCAAGGAGGATCAAACAGTGTTATCCAGGTTGATGGAGTCTCATATGTGGCACCAGCCTTCTGGCTCTGTGGACTCAGAAAGGGGACAATGGCCTCTGCTTGCCCCAATGCCAGACACTTCTGTCTCTCCCAGCATGCCACTGGTGCCCTTCAAGCTGCCACCCCGGTGCTGGAGCTCAGAGGGAGTGAGTGAGTAGGTGAGTCCATATGTGGGTTCTTTAAGAGGAACTGCTTGGAGATCCAGTAGTTTCTCCACCTACTCAATCCCCTCTTGTTTTTGCAGCCAGAAGTTTTGGGGATTTATGTTCCTGGCACTGGAACCTTGGGCTGGGTGGCCTTGTGTGGGGCTGGGTCTCCTTGTTCTGGAGATAATCCCTCCTGAATTTTTATCCTCCACACATCAGTGTGAGACCAGCCTGTTCTGCATCTTCGCCTCACCTACCTGTCTCAATGGACATGGTTTCTTTAATTCTGTAGTTGTCAGACTTTCATTCAGCTTGATTTCTGATGGTTCTGATGGTTCTATATTTTTAGTTGTAATTTTGATGTGGTTGTGAAAAGAAGTGAACCATGTCTGCCTATGCCACCATCTTGACTGGAAGCCCCGCATATGTATATTTTAAATCACATATAAACTAATAATTAGAATTTGACTTTTCAGTCGGATTACTCATACTCGTGTTCCTAATTTTTGGCCATATAAGGATTATTTTCATGGTTATTTAGCTTTTTAAATAATGTAAAAATCATCTGAGAACCCAACACCCAAAATAGAAGCTTGAATTTTGAGGATTAGTTTTTTTCCCATTCTCTCATTTCTGAAAAAGATTTTAATTCAGCATCTTCACGAAGATCTGACAGTCTTTATCACTAGAGTCATTTAGTCATTTAACCTGGTTCTTCACTTCTCTCAGGTTGAGATGAATTCATATTTGAGGCTATCATTGAAAATTTTATTCCTAGCTCCAACTACCCATCCATGTGAGTGTAGTTGTTTTTCCGTTCTTCTAATATATTCATATTCATGATTTCCACAATCTACCACTTTCTGTCATTTTTAAAATTTATTTTTAAATGTAAACTTTAGTTTTTAGGGCTGTTTTTGATTTACAGAAAAATTGTGATGATAGTACAGAGTTCCCTATACTCCACACCCATTTTTTCCTGTTATTAACATTGTATGAGTGTACACACACACACACACACACACACACACACACACACACACACACAATTAAGCTTCTCACCAGTGTACTAGTTTATGGATATTGTTTTCTTTTAATCTGTGTTTTTGAGAATCAAGGATGGAAAATGATACAGTTTTAAAGGCCATTCTTTGGGTTTGTGTCATTTAATATCAAAAGTAAAGTGATAATTAAAGTACTCTGTTTAACTAGATAAAAGCTTTTTTATAGCAACATAATTCTCTAAAATTTTAGAAAACACATAGTTCTGTTTTCTAATTTTTAAAAATGAGTCCTTTCAGTAGTTATAAGGAATTATGGTTTCATTAATTTAGTAACCAGGATTATAAAAAAAAATGAGTGTTTCCTTTTATACATAGGATATTTTCCAAGTCAGTTAATTAATTACAAAGTCAAAATCGACATAGTGAATTTATTTTCCTACTTCCAAATTCTAAATGGAATATATGCAAAAACTATGATTATGACTTGACATTCAAAGTAATGCAATATTTATTTATATATTTATTTAAAAGATTTTACTTTATTTTTAGAGGGGGGGAAAGGCGGGAGAGAGGGAGAAAAACATCGATCGGTGTCTCTCTCACGCCCTCTACTGGGGTCCTGGCCTGCAACCCAGGCAGGTGCCTTGACTGGGAATTTAACTGGTGACATTTTGGTTTGTGAGAGGACACCCAACCCACTGAGCCACACCAGTCAGGGCCAAAGTAATGCAGCATTTAAAGTTAGACATGGTTCAGTTTTGTGAGTGCTTGGTAGACTTATTTATTATATTAATTTTTAACAAGTGGATGGATCAGGTTTCTTAGAAAAAGCAATAAATCAGTAAGTAGTAGTATTTAATTGTTTTTAACCACAGGCCCAAGAGGATGCTGAAAAACTTCGGTCTGTTGTGATGCCCATGGAGAAGGAGATTGCAGCTTTGAAAGATAAACTGACAGAAGCTGAAGACAAGGTTAAAGAGCTGGAAGCCTCAAAGGTTGGGAAACATTCTAATTCATTTGCTTAAAACCCAAGATTCTGTCTTAATGCCATGAGCAAAAGTTAGAATCACTAAGTGGGGAAAAACTGTAATTTAGACTATGCATTTTAAGAATCTTTCCTTGTTAAAATGCAAAAAAAAAAAAAAAAAATCCTGGGAGATGACTTTGTCCCTGTGGTATTATAAATAATTGCAATACTGATGCTTGTGCTGCTGGTGCTGCTTTGTTATAAAGTTAGTGTTTATTTTCTTATCATAATGAGACCTGATCTCATTCAGTTTCTTATTAAGGAAAGTAAGGTGTTCAAGCCAGCCAGTAATTGATTTTTTTAGAGATGATACAGTTATTTTATGGCTGGATTTGTTGGCCATAAAGATACAATAGAAGAAATACAAAGGGAGTATCAAAGATTTTAATAACTAATTAAAAGGAAGAGGAAAGAAACAATAAAAAAGGAGATAGTTAACAGAAGTACAACATAGGAATGTAGAAATAAATACAGAGAAGGGAATGTATCAAGAATCCTAGTAAAAAAAACAACTGATAATCACCTAAAAGAGCTTGTATTTTAAAATTTTAACTTTACATTGCTTATAAGAGATACACCTGAAATAAACCTACAAGGTGAAATTGAAAATAAAGAGATATTTAAAGAGATGCCATGTAAATTCTAACCAAAAGAAAGTTGATAAAGCAGTTGTTACATGAAACAAGTAGGACGTAGGGGAAAAGAATTAATGGAGATAAAGAGAGACTCCATCAATAAATAATCCATCAGAAAGAAAAGGCAGTCATGAACTTAAATTTACCTTACATAGCCTTGAAATATGTAAACCAAAAGTGACAAGGAGAAGTTGACATTCCCAGTTATAATAGGATATTTAAACTGACCTTTAGCAAGTGATAGTGCAAGCAAAAAACAGTATTAGTAGAGATATAGGAGTTTTGAGCAACATGATTAATTTAGCTGTAAGACACATAGAACCCTGTACCCAAGGAATAGACTGTGTTTTGTACTGTAGTAAATTAAAACACAGTAGTTAAGAGCTTAGCATTAATTAGCTGGGTGACCTTGGGCAAATTACTTAACCTTACTATAGTTTAGTTTTCTCAGTTGTAAAATGGGGGTAATAATATAGCCTGTCTTACAAGGCTGTTATGAGGATTGTAAGTTAACACATCTACAGCACGTACGACAGTGCATAGAATCAAGTATTACTATTTTTAGATATGTTATATTTTTCATAAGTTCACAAAGGAAGTGCTAAGAAATTTCAAAAAATTGATGTTATACAGACCAGAGTCTCTGACCACAATTATTAAATTATTTACAGTAAAATGATAGCTAAAATGTCTGGAAATTAAAAAAAGTTAACTTGTATAGAAAAAGGAATTATAAACTATTTTGAGTGATTTGAATATTTTCTCAAGAATCTCAAAAAAGACCAATAGTACAAGCAATATGAATGGAAGAAAATAACACATACAAGAGCCAATATTAGTGAAAGAGAAAAGCAAAGGAAAAAATGAGAATGTGAATATAATGAAAAAATGGAAAAAAATAAGATAGACAAACCTCCAATATGATTAATCAGGAAAAAAGAAAAAAGGCTCAAACCATTAGAAATTAAAGAGAGGACATAAGTACAAATTAGTAGAGATTTAAAAATAATAAATATTATGAACACAAATAAATTTGAAATTAAATAAATTTGGTGAAATGAAAAAGTTTCCAATAAAAGTCAAAATTGTCTTGATAAAATAGAAAAGTAAAAGTAGTAACTACTAAAGAATTTATAGTAAAAAATTTTCTTTCTCCTGTTTCCTCTCCTCCAAAAGACATTGGATTCAACTGGTTTTGCAGGCAAGTTTTTCCAAGCCTTCTGGAAAGAGATAATCTTTATCTTTTATAAAAGGTGTTAGACAATAGAAAAAAAGTGAGAGCTCTCAAAGTCATTTTAGAGACTTGTGTAACCTTATTACAAATGCACACATGCATATCCATCCACAGAAAGGTAGTATAAGAAAAGAAAATTATAGATAATCTCATAAGGAATAGAGAAACAAAATTTTTAACAGTGTAGTTAAAAAAAAAAAAATCACAACCCAGTAAACTGTATTCCCAGGGATTTAAGGATGGTTTATCACCAGAAAACCTGTTATTATCATGCACCATATAAAAAGATTGTAGGAAAAGAATAATATATTTTAGATTCAGAAAGGCATTTGATAAACATCAGTAACTTAGGAAAGGGCTGTTTATCAAGCCTTCGGCAAACATCATAATTAATGGTGAATGTTTAGCAGCCATACACCATTAAGTATGAGAACAATATTAGGAGACTAATGCTTGGTGATTTTGTTCAGATAGTGCAGCCAGACAAGATAAAGAAATGAGGCATGAGAACTGAAATGAAAATGATGAAACTGATTTGATTGTCTATATAGAAGAACAAGAGAATATACAAACGCAAAAAAGTATGGTTATTAGACATAAGAGTTTAGAAAAGTTCCAACAGGATCAACATACAAAAATAATAGTGTTTCTATACCCCAGTAATAGCTAAATAAATAATGTAATGGATGGGGGAAAAAGATCCCATTCACAATAAAAAAAAAAGCAAAAAACAAAAAAACCCTAATGTAGTCCCTCCTTATCTGCAGTTTCACTTCCTGAGGTTTTAGTTACCGAAAGTCAAGTACAATCCAAAAATATTAAGTGGAAAATTTCAAAAAATAATTGATAAGCTTTTAATTGTGTGCTGTTCTCAGGTGATGAAATCTTACGTTTTCCTGCTCTGTCCTGTCCAAGATGTGAATTGTCCTTTTGTCCATTTCCTTGCTGGACCTGCCTGTTAGTCACTTACTAGCTGTCCCAGTTATCAGTATCACACCTGTGGTATTAAACGAAGTAAAACCTTCGTTTTACTTAATAATGGCCCTAAAGCAAAAGACTAGTGATGCTAGCAATTTGGATATGCCAAACAAAAGCCATAAAGTGTATACATACACTGTATCATACACTTTAGGGATAGAGTTTTACCCTAACCATACTACGTTTTTTTACTATAGCAAATAATAAATAGCCATAGTAAAAAAAATACAGTATGTGTATGGTTCTATACTATACTAGGGGGTCTTGGAATGTATCATCCACAGATGAGGGGGACTACTTCATGTACTTAGAATACATTAAAGAAAAATGGGCATGATCTTTATGAAATACATAAAGTGAGGCAAAAGTAGGTTTACAGTTGTTTGTATGGAAAATAATACAATAATGCATTATAATACAAGAAAAAACTCTTATGTTGCAGCTGTAAATGTACTTTTGCTAACCTGTGTTAAAAATGAAGATCTGAATACATTTATGTTCCTTAATGAAAAGATAATGTATTATAAAGCTGGAGGTATACTTAGGAGTTTGACAGTGGTAAAGGAACCTCCGTTACCATGGAGTATTTTGCAGATGCAGCTGTAAACAGGATTAGCTTGACAGGAACTCAGTGGATCAATGTAGCCAACTGTAAAGAAGAAATCAGTGTGTAATTAACCAAATAATAGCTAGAAGGGAGACAGAACTGTGAAGATGAATCTTCTGTCTCCTTTACTTGCTCCAAGTAAAGAAAACTACTTTGCCGACGACAACAATGACAACAACAACAACAACAACAACAACAACAAAAAAGCAGGCAGTATATCCCCAAATTAATCTATAAATTCAATATTACACTAAAAAATCCAATAAGGAACTTGACCAGTAGATTCTAGATTCATATAGACAAGCAAGGGATCAGAAATATAGCTAGCAAAAATTTTAAGAGGGTGATGAGACTTGCCCTACTTACCAGATACTAACTAACACTTATAAAAAAGCTACTGTAATTAAGATAGCTTGTTATTGGTTTAGGGATAGTCAAAGGACCAGTGAAACAGACTAGAGGGCCCAGAAATAGAACAATGTATGAAACTTTGATATATGACAGGTGGCATTACTAATCAGTGGGAAAAGAAAGGTTTGCTAAAAAGTAGGCTTTTAAAAATAATTATAAATATGGAATTAAATGAGATTAGTTTTCTACCTCATGCTTTACAAATATTAATTTTAATGAATTAAAAACCGTAAGAGTGCAAAAATAAATTTTAAAAAAATGGGGGGAGGGAACCCCTAAGAGTGAAAAGCAAATTTTTGAAGCTTTTAGGTGTTAAAAAAATAAAATTTACCTGGGGTAAAAAAATGTTTGAAATAAGACAGTAATATTGATTGTGAATGAAAAGATCAACAAATCTGCCTACCTTAGAATATAAAACTTCACTATTAAAAGAAATCACACATAAAATTAAAGAACTATAGAATACTAGAAGATCTCTTTCTATACCTCAAATACCCGATGAAAAATTAGTACCTGAAATTAATAAAAATTGCCTAGTTCATAAGTGACAAATGGCCCAGTAGAGAAACAAGAAGATGAGCAAGCAATTCACAAAAGAGAAAATCATGACAGTCAGGAATGGAAAAAGATACTGAACCTCTCTACAAGTCAGGGAAATGTAAGTGAAAATGGGATACCATTTTATCCTAACCAGATTATGTCTTACAGTACAAATTTATAGTGTTTACCCACTATTGGAGTGTGTGAAACTCTTCCCAACTCCAGCTGCTATTGTCAAGTTGGAGCCCCAGCTGACTGTTTTGGGGCTCTTGGGACCCTTGTTGCTTTCTGTTAATTTCTTCTGCATAGACACTGATACTACTGAAGTAGGTCAGTAGTTTATCCCTACCCTCATTTATCACTTGTTTTTTTGTTTGTTTGTTTTTGTAACTACCCATGTGCTTTTGGTATTGTTATTTTTAGCAGTTCTAAATTCAAGGAAATTCACATACTGTGCCACCATTTCCCCAGAGTTCTGCCCAATAGCTTTTGAATGTTAGAAATTCATTAATTATTAATTGAGTCAAATATTCTAAAAAGTAATAACTGATAGAATTAGTGGTTATATGCCACCATTTTATATCTGTCGTATTGACTCTCTTACCATCAACTGAATTATTACCCTCTTCAGGTCATAGGGAAAGTACCTCACAACAGCCAGCACTTTGTCATGCTTGGTTAGTATTGTTTTGTTTTGTTTTTTAATGCTCACCGAAACACATGCTCATTGATTTTAGAGAAAGGGAAAAGGAGGGAGAGAGAAAGTGAGAGAAACATTGATGTAAGAGAGAAACATTGATTGGTTGCCTCTTGTACGGGGACCGAACTTGCAACCTAGATATGTGCCCTTACTGGGAATCGAACCCATGACCTTTTGGTTTATGGGATGATGCTCCAACCAAGCCACACTGGCTGGTTAGTATCTTTTTTATTGGCTGGCAGCCTCCAGTGAAGCAAATGACAGCTTTAAATAATTATTTTAGTGTGTGACCAGTATTACTCTATTGTATTAATAATAGACTAGGATCAGTCAGCTATTTAATGTTTCAGCTATTTAATGGTTGAAAAAAATGGGAAGGTAAAAGGCATGCACCTTGAAATGACCTTAAAAATTAAATTAGACATAACCGTTTGAAAAAGTTCTAAGTTAACTAAATGGCCAATGGATAGACAGTTTCTAAGACAGGGTGAAACAAGTAGTTCTGTAATCACTTTCTAGGACAAGATTGCATTTTATTTTGGTGATAGCTATTTCAGATTTATACTAACTTGTTTATGTTTGAACATTATAGCTAATTGCTCAACAGAAATAAAGTAGTTTTTTAAAAGATGTGATTTTAAAAAGTTTTCTTCATTTGCCTTCAAGTTTGTTATTCCTTTCATCATGACTTCCTCTTTTTTCCTTCCGTGAATATATGTATCTGTGAAAATGTTTCCTTTTTATTAATTTAAGGCACTTGGAATTACCTCATTAGAAATTAAAAAAAAGCAAACTTATAAGGGTATGGTACTATTTTTATCTTCAGACAGTAACTACTGTTTAAAATAAAAACAAAACAATCTGGTGTTACTGAGTGTGAGATAAAATGAGCACATGGGAATACAAATTGGAACTGCCTTTTTGAAAAGAATGTAGAAAACTGTTATATGTAATCTCAATTGAATGTTTATTTTCATGATATGATTATAGATAATGTCTACTATTAATTGGTTATTTTTCTAGTTTTCTATAGTAAGTGTGTAAATTTTAGTTTACTAGAATTGTGTCTTGTTTCAGGTTAAAGAACTGAATCATTATTTGGAGGCTGAGAAATCTTGTAGGACTGACCTAGAGATGTATGTAGCTGTTTTGAATACTCAGAAATCCGTTTTACAGGAAGATGCTGAGAAACTGCGGAAAGAATTGCATGAAGGTAAATATATATTCTGTATATTTTTTTATCTTAGTCTCTAAGAGAACTATGATATTGATTAACAAAACAATAACAAACCTTAAAATACCAATCCAATATGTTGGTGATTTAATTTAAGCTTCACAGTTTGAATATTCCCATGAAAATCTGGAAATGTGAGGTCTACTAAAGATACTTAGGTGGTTACTGGCTTCTCTTTCTTCTGGGACTCTAGTAATAACTTCACAGGGCATGAGCTCTTGACCAAAAGATAATACAGCTGGGAACTTCTGCGTAGACTGGTTTTGTCCTCGACCCATTTTGATGGAGGTGGATTAGCAAAAGTGAATATAGGACAGAGAGGACAGATAATATATTCTGGTGTTGTTAAATAACATTCCTGTTTAGAAGGGACAATTTTGATTTCACATGTCTGGTAGCAGAATGGTGGAGAAATTGATTATGTTTTCCCAGGAATGAGGAAGAAGGCTCATCTCTTTATCATTAAAATAAAAATATACTTTTGTCTTGAATTCTTCTAGTGATTCCTATATTCCTGGGGTTTTTAATTTTCTTGTGTCATGGACTCTTGGCAGTTTTGTGAAGCCCTTTCAGAATAATGTCTTTAACCCATAAAATATGGGGGAATTACAAAAGAAACTGATTATATTATTAAAAAATTATCAAAATATAAATAACTGCAAACTTATGGCATAGTAATAAATGCGCTCTTTCAGTAATGTATTAAATAACAAGATCTAGTAGCAGGTCTGATAACTTGTAATTTTGAAGTAGTGATGAGCATAAATATCAATATTAAGATATCTGTGGCTTCTGTTGGTTGCCAAATCATAGGTTATGTTATACTTACTGTAGTTGGTTGCCTACATTTCATAATTGAAGTAAATGATAAATTTCAGTTAGAGGTTAGTGAAAATAAAGATCTAATTTTTTTTCGTCTTCAAAATGCATGCCTTTGAAATCTTATACTTATTTTAGGTTTTGCTAGTAATTTATTTTATATGCATTTTTAGGACTGGTGATAGAGTCTTACAATGAATACTTTTAACTATATCAAATGCTGTGGAAAACATAGATCTTCCCTAAGTAATTTAGGTTTGCATATGAGTTAGTTCCCCCCCCCCCCCCCCAAGTAGTAGAAAGCTGGAATCACATAAGTATACTGAATTATTTCATAAAATGTTATGAAAATAACCCGAAGTTTGAGTGAGCCTTTGGCTTTCAGGAAACATTTTTCAGATGTGCTGCTGCAGTGAAAAAGACCCCCAAACTCTGAAAGCGTATAAAAAAAATTATGTTTAAACTATGTGCTCCAACCCTTCCAGAAATAGTGTAAGACTGCCAAACCTTCCTAATATATCTAGAAAAGTATCTGAGAAGGTTCACTCAAATGAGTACAGGGATAAAGGAATTTCCATACTGAAACACTCACACCAAAAAATAGTATTTGAATGACAAGAAGACAGATAAAGGTTAAGCAGCAGTGTAGTGACAGCTTAAATTGGTGGAATTAGGTAGGCGGCCAGGTTAGTGCAGTTGCATGTCAGAGGTGCTAGGATTGGGAGTGTATTAGGAGGCAGCAGTGCCACGGATAGGCTTCTTCAAAGAAGTTGTTGGTAAGTGGAGTTTTGAAAGGTAGGTATTTTTGAGAGATGAGCATAACATTCAAGGCCATTTGCATGTGGTACAACAAGGTAAGGGAGTGAAAAAAGTGTAGTTCAGCAAAATTAGGATGCAGAAGGCAGCAGTGCAAAATGTGGAACAGGAGAGGCAGAGCACAGAGACCTTACGCTAAGGGTTTTTGGCTTTTATACTGTGGGCATTAAGGAGCATCTGAAGGGCTTAAAAGTCTTTTTTCTTAAATAACTTTATTGAGATATAATTCACATGCCATGAAGGTTCCTCTTTTAAAGTGTACAATTCAGCAGTTTTTAATATATTCTAATTGCAGAACATTTTTATTCCAAAGAGAAGTTACAGATCCATTGCCAAAACATCCCTATTCTCTCCTCCCTCCCAACTCCTGGCAGCCACTAATCTCCCTTCTGTTTCTGTAGATTTGCCTGTTCTGGATTTCCTTTTAAATAGGATTATACAATATGTGGTTTTTGTGTTTGGTTTCCCTGAAGGGTTTTAAACTAGTGAGTGATAATATTAATTTTGCAGTTTAGAAAGTTCATTTTAATAGGGTGGAGGATAGAATAGAGAGGGCAACTCCCCTTAGCAGGGAGAATAACAAAGGGACTGCTGTCATAGTCTAAATTACGAGGGCTGATCTAAAGCAGAAGATGGCTGTGCCATAATGTGCAGGAGGTAGCATTAGTAGGCTTCTGAATGTATTAGATGAGGAAAAATAAGAAATAGGAATTGTCTCTTGAGTTTCTTTGGGTAGCTGAGTAGGTGGACGGAGAGATGATGCTGCCTACTCTTTTCTCCATAGAAGATGATTGAGCTGATGAGTATCAACCACATAAATATTTACAAAGATTTTTTGACTTATCCGTAGAGGTCAGAACTAAATGGGTTCAAGGATTCCTGGATAACAGATGTATCAGACTATATTAAAGAGAATTAGGAGTGCTTTAAACCTTTGGCCTTTAGAGCAACCTTTTCCAAAATGTATTCCCTAGAACATTTTTTATGTGAGTGACACTGTGGAAAGGATTTTATTTTTTTGTCAGAGAAATTTAGGAAATACTGTATTGCCTACCATTAAAATTTAGTGTTTTTGATTGGGGGATTCTTACAGTGTGCCATCTCTTGGAGCAAGAGCGACAACAACACAACCAGTTAAAACATACGTGGCAGAAGGCCAATGACCAGTTTCTGGAATCTCAGCGTTTGCTGATGAGGGACATGCAGCGAATGGAGATTGTGCTAACTTCAGAGCAGCTCCGACAAGTTGAAGAACTGAAAAAGAAAGATCAGGTGAATAGCATTTTTGTAGGACTTGCTTACTTTTTTAATAGTGCATCCTAACCCACCCACATACATGTGACTGCATTGCTTGGTGTATATTAGAGGTTGACTAAAGCCTGAAATAAGGTGCTGTATGACATTTCAAAAAATATCATAGCAGCATTGGATTTTGTTTTTCAACTTTAGAAATGACCTTGCCTGGAGGAAGAAAAACATTTAGAAGTGATCTGCTTCAGAGACTGCAGTGCGCAAAAGTGCATATTTCTGAGAAATGTTTTCTCTGTAGTTCTGTCCAGTTCTTCTAGGGCTCTTGAAGTGTGTTAATCCAGGCCAAGTCTTCGTGACATTGCTCTAAAAGCCTTCTTAGAAGGTGGCAGGGTGGGGACGGAGAGGCCGAATGATAGGTAAAAGCGGGTGTCTAGAGTGCTGCATACCCAAGATTCTGTTTGCCTCATGTGATTTAAAAACTTATTTAAATTACTTGAGTAATATACAGACATACCCTTATATTAAAAATTTTGTTATTAAGTACAAAGTAAAATTATAAAGTGATAAAGTGAAAAAGATGTCCCTTGCTAACTCCCACACTCCTTTCCTAGAAGTAACCACTTTTTAAGTCAGGAGTAGTCAGTTTGGAAGGTAGTCTTTCAGATCATTTCTATGTATTTATTAGTGCATGTTTAGGAATATTTTTTTTCATACAACTGGTATCATAGTTTAAGTATTTATAACTTATTTTTCTCATAGCATTATCTTAGATATACTTTCACATCAGAGAGCCATTTGTTGTTAGCTAGTAGCATGGATGTACTGTAATAGACTTAATCATTCTCTTCTTGGTGGACATCTGAATGGTTTCCTTTTGTGAGTGTCACTTTAAACAGTGTTGCAGCTGATGTTCTATACTATGTTTTATGTGTACAATTATTTCCCTAGGATAGTTCTGTAGAAGCTTTTTAAGGTATTATTAGAAATATTTTAGATTATGTTACATGACCTACGTTAGATTCTGTTTTTCAGAAGTTTCTTCCTTTATAATTTTGTTTTCTGTTTCTTAATTCTGACTCATTCATCTTGTGTGTAGACATGGTCAACTTAAAGATTCAGTTTCAAAAGTACAGATCTAATCATACCCCTCCTGCTGCCTATTAAAACAGTCTTAATTCCTATAACTGGTCATTTAAAGCCTTCATTAAAATTTATTGAGCTTTGTCCTGGCTAGATAGCTAAGTTGGTTAGAGCATTGTCCTGATATTCCAAGGTTGCAGGTTTGATCCCTGGTCGGGGCACATATAAGGATCAGTCAATGAAATGTATAAATAAGTGGAACAACAAATCATTGTCTCTCTCTCTAAACTCAATAACATTTTTAAAAATTATCCGGAAACCCCAATTATACTATCTAAATGAAGTAGGGACCAATGGCAGATCTGAGATTTGAGCCAGTCTCTGATTCCAGAGTCTAAGCACTTAATCACCACCCTCCTTCCATATACTTCCCTTCTCATGTGCCTGTGCTCTTTTAGTCACATCAAATTATACAGTATTCCGTCAGATGGCTCCCTGTGCCCCTGCACATTTGTACCTGCTTCTTGTCTCCCTGGAACTCTTGCTTGTCTCCTCTTACAAAATTGGCAAACTTATCTTACTAATTCTTCAAGATCAGCTAAAATGTTACCTTCTCGGGGTCCCCTTTTCTAGCTCTCTCATATGAAATCAGTCATTTTAAAAAAACATACTTCAATAGTATTGTAATTGTGTGTTTGTCCTTTGGCAATAGACATTAAAGGTATCTTACTCATCTTTGTTGAGTGAATGTATCAATTTCAGTCATTCCTTTTGTATTTCATATAAATTTGTACCTGTTTCTAATGGATGAGTAATAACTTTTTCCATTTGGTTTTCTGCAATAATCTTAAGGAATATTCTATGTAAATTTTCTTTCTTGCATCATTTGAGGAAGAGAAGACGGTTTGTCTTCTTTTGTCTGACATTCACATTCTTTAGTTTCTGGAAGCTATTTCCCGATTTCTTCTTTTTACTAAGGTTCATACTTTGTGCCTATAGTGTTAAAGCATTTTGTTATGACTGGACGCCCTTACATGTGATTTCAAAACAAATAAGCTTAGGTGTCCAGTTTTCTCTCATCATACAGTTCTTGTTTGTTTGTTTTGAGTGGTTGGAACTACATGAATCATCATATGTAGATTACTTGTGTAATATATATTTTTTTTACTAACTTTTAGGAGGAAGATGAACAACAAAGACTTAATAAAAGAAAGGACCACAAAAAAACAGATGTTGAGGAAGAAGTGAAAATACCAGTAGTGTGTGCTTTAACTCATGAAGACTCTTCAGCCCAGTTATCAAATGAAGAGGTATAGTGAATCTCTAATTAAAATAATTGTGTACCATTTTAGCTTCTCATACATTAATTGGTTACATTGTTCATATGGTAAGTGTATAACTACTTGCTGAAAATTAGATAAAATGGTAATACTTACTTTCAGTCATTTTTATGGTGTTACAAAAAGTACCATTTGAAACATGTTGCAGTTCCTGTCATAGTCACTGAAATAATTAGATGTTAGTTTATCCAGCGGTTCCAAAAGTAAAGTATTAGAAGAAATTTTTAATATCTGCAAAATCTTTTGTATGCATAGTTAATGTTGATAATACTTTGAGCTCTTTGTTTAAAAGAGATTATCTAAAATATTGAAACACTTAACTTCCTATACCATGTATTAAGTATTAACTAGTATTAGGTCTTATACTGAGAATAGTAGGTGAGGATTGGCAGATTGTGATGGGATAGGGTAGAACATTTCAGATTTTGGTATGGGGTAGAGTAGAGAGACCTGGAGGTGGAACGTGTATGGTGGTGGTCCTGTGGCTTCATCACCTCTAATCCACAATGGGGCAAGGGCTTCCTCATTAGGTTTCCTGTCTTCAGCCTGCTCCACTGCAGTACACCCTCAGTGCTACTGTCAGATTTATTTTTTTTTAAATGGGGCTACAGTCAGGCCACTCCCCAGTTCAGACACTGACTATCATTGCCTAAATAAGTAAGGACAAATTCCTCACTCAGACCATTCATAATATGTGCTTTGTTTTAATGACATTGGTTGTCTTGTGCTACACTCCCCACCTTGCATGTTGATTTCTTCACCTGGAATGCTTATTTCCATCTGCCTTTCTGAGTATTGAAATCCTTCTATTTATTCTTCAAGACTCATGTTGGTATCTCCTTTTCAATCACAGAATGCTTCTCTTACTTTGCCTGTAGGATAAAAACTAAAAAGCACCCCTTTGGCATACAAGGGCTTGGCATACAAGGGCTTTCACAGTTGAAAGACCCTTCCAGCCTTACTCTGCTGTTCATTTCGTCACAACCAGACCTTTCTACTTACTGTCATTGCTCATATGCCTTGTTTATATTGCCCCTGCTATTTAGAATTTCATACTTATTTTCCTACTCCTATCTCCTTTCTCGGCCTGGTAAACCAGTTTTAGCTAAATTGGATAAAGGTCTTACCTACTTTCAGACGTATCATGTTTCTGTTTAGTTTGCACATTTACTCTGAGCCAATGTAATCTACCTCGTGGCTTATATTTCCATGTTTATGGATTGTTTGACAGTTAAAAAAAATTTTTAAAAATCCTAGTGGACATTGAAAGTATGATGTGGTGGTTTTTCTGCATTCTTTGTTTTGGATCATACACTGAGGGCCACTTGGCTGGATTTACTGTGTGTTTTGTTTTTTTTTAATAGATTGCCAGGAGAATATCTCAACTTTTGGTACTGCCAAATATGTGTTTTTTTTGTGTGTGTCATGCAGTCCTATGTCCAGAAATGCTTGAAAAAGTTTCAGACTTTTCCAAAAGTATTTTAGCAGGAAAACAGGAAAGAGAGGTTTTTTTGTGATTTGCAGTGAAGCCTTTTTCTTATTTTTGATTCTGTCTTAACAGATCTATGATATACTGTGCATAACATTGTTTCCTGACATTTGAAATATCTTTTAGACTTTCGGATCAGATATTTTGCATATTTTTTTTGTGTTGAGAATCATGACAATTTACATCAGCCTGTCAGTTTTAAAGTTAATATGAAGTGCTTTGGGAACTTAGATGTATTGATAAAAGCATTTAAATTTGTAAGATCTCATGTCTTCTTTAGCCTGATGCTTAGAAAATACTTTTTGCATTACAAAGGAAATACATGTTCATTATGGAAAATCTGGAAAATACAGGGAGGTAAATAAAATAAAAATAACTGATAGGTGGTAATTCTGTTGCCCAGAGAAAACCACCAATAATATTTTGGTATGTACTTCTCCTTCCCCTCTTTTTTAATTTTTATTTCCAAAGTTAATGAACATGTGTTTCTATTTGTGCTTTTTAAACATAATCCAATTGTAACTCTACATAATGTTTTATATATTATTTTTCCCCACTTAAGTCTGTTTTTAAAGGTTTTGACATATCAGCAAATGTTTTTCCCCAAAATAATATTTAATAGCTGGCGTATTTCAGCATGTAAATGTACCATATTTCCTTAATCTCCTACGTATTGATTTGTGCCCATGTTTTAATTTGTCAAGGTTGACTGAGTGACGACATGGAGAGGTCAGTGCCAGTGAAAGAGAAGTTTCATGTTATTCACAGCACTCTCAGAAACGAGAGTCGTGGCACACCACGCACAGCCACCTGGAGAAGAGCCAGAGTTGGTCTTGAGGCAGAACAGGAGCAAGGGGGAAGCATTGACGATAGCCATTATTGGGGTTTTTGAGGAAAACGGAAGGCAGAGCAGGGTAAACAGCATAAGATCGGCCAGTCTGAATAGTTTCAGTGGGCTTTGGGGTAGGGTAAATACTGGCTTGGTGTGTAAGAGTTAGATAAAGGAATTGGTTCGGGTAAGGACTCAAGATTGGTTGATTTGTATCTAAAAGGCGTGTTTGTAGGCAAGTTGTTTATTCTAGGTATTAGCTGGCTTGGGAGGGGCAGTCTCTCCCTGGCCAGCAAGGTCCCAAAATGTCAAAAGTATTGTAAAATAGAAAATACAAAAATACTGTTTATGCACTAATATATAAAGAGTCAAGTTGGTTCCATTTGTATCAGTATAAAATTTTTCATTATTATAAGTAATGTCATAATGTTATATATAATTCTTCCTTATAGAAAAATCATTATGGACTTAATCTGATTACCTCTTTTGTGTAAGTTCTTGGGAAAAGAACTGCTGTGTTTGAGGATACAAACATTGTTAAGGTATTAGAACATATTGTTGAATCATCTTTTGGAAAAATAACAGTTTACAGTTCCCGTTGAAGTGTTCCTTATGCTGTTACCACTGTGGTGTTTTTAAATTGGCCACCAGAACTTTTCTGCCCTGTCCCCTTCCCTTTTTGTGTTACAGCAGCATTGTATATGGTAACATTAGCTGTTAGGCTCCTTTATAAGTTCACAGAATGTGTTCCCAGTTTTTATTAGGATACTTCTTTGGGACCTTTGCCATAGCGAGTCTAATATATACCAGATTTGTGTTCCTTAGTTATCTGAATTTCACAGATGAAAAAAATGTTTAAAAAGAAAGAAATGGAGAAATTAACATTATAAATTGTCAACTTTTTATTACAACACCAACTAGGGATGTAAGGATATTTTTTAAACATTTAAAAAATTTTGTATTCTGCAGTCTTTTCTAGTTCATAAAAGGGAAGGTCTTTAACCACAAAACATGGAAAGACTATTTCTTAAAATAAAGGCTAGTACTTAAAGTTCAGTTTATTTAGTTTCAAGGAAAACTTCCTCATTTTCCTTGTTTTCTGATCCCCCACTAGCTGTGCAACTCCGTCACAGAATGGCACTGGTATGCTTTTAGATTTGGGGAATGTGCTGCACCATGTTTAAAAAAATTTTTTTTAATTGAGATGAAATTCACATAATATAAAATTAACCATTTAAAGTGCAGTGGTAGAAAAAAGTTTTTTAAAAAGGAAAGAAAAAAAATAAAGTGCAGTGGAAATTAGTGCATTTACAGTGTTATGCAACTGTCACCTCTGTCTAGTTTCAGAACATTTTCATCACCCCTGAAAGGATCCATGAAGAAGTCACTGCACATTCTCTTTTCCTCTTGGCCTCTGGCAACCACTGGTTTGTTTTTGGTCCAGACCTATTCTGGACATCTCATATATTTCTAATCAAGTGATATATGTAACTTTTGTGTCTGGCTTCTTTCACTTAGTGCACTACACTTAACACGTTAATTACACCTTGCTTGAAATTGGGTTTCCTGCTTACCACATTGCCCTTGTTTCACTTACGCCACTCTGGCCACTCCTTCCTCTGTCCATCTCCAAAATGTGTTTTTCAGGGTTCTGTCCTTGGCCCTCTTCTCATTCTACAAACTCATTTTAGGTTTTTTAGTTTGCTCTTGTGACTTTAATCATCATTATACAATGGCTACTCCCAAATCTCTGTCTAAAGACTTATACGTCCATCTGTTGGATGGACATCTGTACTTGGATATGCACAGGCATCTCACATTCAACATACTCGGCACTGAATTTTGGTAAACCTTCCCTGACTTTGTATGTGTGGACCAAATTCCTCTCCTTGAGGTACCAAAGCATTCAGTACATAGTTGTAGCCTATCATTTTATTAAATATGATATTCTTTTTATTTTAAATGTAATTTTTAATTATTTTTTAATTTATAAATCATGTTAATTCTATTACAGTTGTCCCAGTTTTTCCCCCTTTACCCCCCTCCACCCATCCCACCCCCACCCCCGCTCCCACAGTCAATTCCCACTCTATTATCCATGTCCATGGGTCATTCATACATGTTCTTTGTCTAGTCCCTTCTCCTTCTTTCCACCATAGTCCTCTTTCCTCCTCCCCTCTGGTCACTTTCAGTCTGGTCCATGTTTCCGTGCCTGTGGTTTATTTTGTTCATTAGTTTATTTTGTTGAATAGAGTCCACTTATAGAGATCATATGGTAATTGTCATCAACTGGTTTATTTCACTTAGCTTAATATTCTCCACTTCCATCCATGTTGTTGCAAAAAGTAAGAGTTCGATCTCTCTCCCTCTCTTTCATTCTTTCTTAAATGTAGATTGATTTTATTTATTTATTTTTAAATGTCAAAGTTAATTATAAAATATTTAAAAAAATTTAAAACCATTATAAAGTCTCAGCAATTAAACCAACATGACACCAGCACAGAAATAATCAAGTAGATCAATGAAATATAGTGAACATTCTAGAGATAAACGTATATATCTGATTAATATATATATGATTAAGTTGATATTTCAAGTCAATGGGGAAAATAAGGCTTATTCCACAAATAAGGTGCATGGACCACTATTACTTGAAATAAAACAAATATAGAGCCCTGTTTTACACATTATACAAGAAATCTTCAGGTGAGTTAAAAATCAATATGTAGAATCTAAGGAGTTTCAGAAGAAATAGAACTAATATTTTTCATGACCTGAAGTAAAATATTCAACTCCAGAAGCTATAAAGTAAGCTATGAAGACAATATGACTATATTAAACATTTAACTATATAGTAATATACATATAAAAAAAGTTAAAGGGCAAGGAATAGAATAAAAAAGTATTTGCAACACATCTAAAACATGGTTAATAAGTTTTTTGTTTCTTGGTTTTTTTTAAAGGGAAAAAAGTTCTACAAACCTTTCATCAATAAAGGGGTAAAGAATACCAAAAAGTCATTTAAAGTTTAAAAAAAAAAATAGGCAAGACAGTAAATAGTAAAGGAACAATTAAAATAACATCATCGTCACAATCAGATTAATGAGTATTAAAAATATTGGTAATATCAAGTATTGGCAACTGTTAAAGGAACTGGGTATTCATAGAAACTTTTTCTTCATCTTAAAGCAGTCCCTTTAGCATATTTTGCATTGCTGGTTTGGTGGAGTTGTATTCTTTTAGCCTTCTTTTGTCTGAGAAGCTCCTTATTTTGCCTTCCATTTTAATTGAGAGCCTTTCTGGGTAGAGCAGTCTTAGTTGCAGGCCTTGGCTTTTCATTACTTGGAATATTTCTTGCCATTCCCTTCTGGCTTGCAGTGTGTCTGTTGAGAAGTCAGATGCTAGCCGTATTGGGGCTCCCTTAGATTTTACTACCTCTTTCTCCCTTGCTTCCTTTAGGATTCTGTTTGTCTTGGATATTAGCCATTTTAGTGATGATGTGTCTTGGAGTGGGCCTCTTTGGGTTCCTCTTGAATGGGACCCTCTGTGCTTCCTGGACTTGTGTGGCTTTTTCTCTCCCCTAATTAGGGAAGTTTTCCATCATTACTTTTTCAAACAGGTTCTCTATCCCTTGTTTCTCTTCTTCTCCTTCTGGTATCCCTATTATATGGATATTACTACGTTTCAGGTTGCCTGCATTTCCCTCAATGCCTCTTCATTCTTTTTGAGTCTTTGTTCATTTTCTTGTTCTTCTGGGAGCTTTTTTCTACCTTGTCCTCCAGCTTGCTGATTCGGTCTTCAGCTCATCTAGTCTGCTTTTGATTCCTTATACTGGGTTCTTCAGTTCAGAAATGGTATTCTTCATTTCCTCTTGTCTCTTATTGATAGTTTCTGTGTCTTTTTTCATGCCGATATAGTTTGCAATACGTTCCTTGTAGTTTCCCTGTAGGTTTTGGTAATTCTCTCTGAGCTCACTGAGCTCATTGAGCTTCCTTAGAACCGTTGTTTGGAACTCAGTATCTGATAGTTTAGTTGTCTCTATTTCATTTAGTTCTCTTTGTGCGTATTCCTCCTTTCACTTCGAGTGGGGCATATTTCTTTGTCTTCCCATTATTTGTGAGACTCTTTTGCTTCTGCTTCTTCAGTTGATCTGTTTTGATTTCCTGACTTTGTGGTGTGAACTTGTATGATAGGAGACTGCTGTTTTTTCTTTATAGATCTGCCTCTGATGATGTCAGATGTTGACCCTGTCTGACCTTAGGCAGTCTGTTTGAGACTTCCAGGAATCTGCTGTCTGTGGCTGTCTCCTTCAGCTGTTAATCTATTCACTCTGCACTCAGCAGGGTGCCTTAGCTCAGGGCCAGGCGGAGTCCCTCCTGGGGACTGGGTTATTGGGTCCTTTCACGCTGCTGCTCTATGGAGGAGGAGTCAGCACTGGGATCCCACTGGCTACTCTCTTAGTTCTCTCCCCAAAGCCTCCGTCCCCGGTCTCTTCTCAAGTGTGGCTAGACCTTTCTGCGTCCCCTTTAGCCAGGGATCTACTGTCTGTGGCTGCCACTCTGCGCTCAGCAGGCAGCTTAGACAGCACAGGGTGGGGTGGAATCTCACCTGGGGGCGGGGCTATGGGGTCCTCTGACACTGGTGCCACTCAGGGGGAGTGGTCTCCTCCTGAGCAAAATGGCTGCTGCCACATGGGGGATGAGTCAGCACGGAGATCCCGCGGGCTACTCTCTCAGTTCTCTCCCCAAAGCCTCTTTCCCCAGTCTCTCCTCCAGCGTCTTTAGTCCACTCTGCCCCTGCCTTTGCCAGAGACTAGGGTAAGTGGCTGTAAATAAAAATTTTGCATTGGCTCTTTAGAAGGCTCTTTATGTCTCCAGCCGCCTGTCTCTGGCAGAGAGCAACCATGCCACTTTTTGCAGCTGGCTGTATTCTGTGTATTTTTTGGGCTCTGGTGCTGTGGGCTAGAGATCCCCGCTTTTGGTTTAGACCCCGTCTTCTCAGGGGGCATCCAACTGGTTGATTCAGGATCCTCCTGGTGCTGCCGCCTGTGGGCGCCCTGCTCACCTTCTCAGGTCTGTGCCGCACTCCTTACCAGTTAGATTGCGCTAAAGCCAATTTTCTGTCTCCGAGGTTACAAGGCTCCTCTCTTGCTATTGTTCAGTTTTCTAAATATGATATTCTGATAGCCTGCTTACTTGTTTATTTTTTCATGAAATCATAAGCATCTTTAGGGCCAGGATTGTTCACAGTTGTATCCTCCGCTCACAGGATACAAGTTGTATTTTGCTTATATCACAGATACAAGTTGTGTCTTGCTCACAGTTGTATCTTGAGTGCCTGGCTTAGTGCCCAGTGTATAGAAGACACTTAATAAATGTTTGTTCAGTAAATACATGAAGGTAACACACTGATGATTATCATGTGTAATGTGGCAAAATACTTTTAACATGCAGTAGTTTTCATTTTTGAAAATACAGAGAATTGTCTAACGTGACAATACATGTTTTCACATTTCAGGAGCATTTAGATAGTACCCATGGTTCAGTCCATTCCTTAGATGCAGATTTACTGTTGCCGTCTGGAGATCCATTCAGTAAATCGGACAATGACTTGTTTAAAGATGGACTCAGGAGAGCGCAGTCTACAGACAGCTTGGGAACCTCAGGCTCACTGCAGTCCAAAGCTTTAGGCTATAACTACAAAGCAAAATCTGCTGGAAACCTGGACGAGTCAGATTTTGGACCACTGGTAGGAGCAGATTCAGTGTCTGAGAACTTTGATACTGCCTCCCTTGGGTCACTGCAAATGCCAAGTGGGTTTACGTTAACCAAAGACCAGGAAAGAGCAATCAAGGCAATGACGCCAGAACAAGAAGAGACGGCGTCTCTCCTCTCCAGTGTCACCCAGGGTATGGAAAGTGCTTATGTGTCCCCCAGTGGTTATCGCTTAGTCAGTGAGACAGAATGGAATCTCCTGCAAAAAGAGGTGAGTTATCTTTGTTTTTTTTCCCCTGATTACTTTGAGCAATACTGGGTAACTGGGGTTTATTCTTCAGTCAGAAGATAGTCCCTGGAGTCAGTACATGCACATGCTACTAGCAAGTGGGTGTTAACTCATATAGTCTGACCCATGTTATAGTCTACTCTAGTTATTCAGGTGATTATGACAGAGAAGGAACTAGCTAGCTAATTACATTGAGTGTGAACTTCTCTACCCTGAAGTCACACCTCTGAAGTTGGAGCAGTCTACCTGAATAGCATAGCTAAGTTTAAGTTAGAGTAGCCTGAGCTTGGTTTGCTTTGCAGTTTCTATAACCTTAGTGTATTCCAAGATTCCTACTGTTTCATCTTTCCTTGAGATCTGAAGTGTAAATGCTTGTCAGCAGTTGATGCTGAGAGTGAATTTAAGGAGAGGGGTGGAAAATATCGAAGAGAATAAAAGGCAACCTTCAATGAGGCTAATTTTCCTCTTACTAGTGTTTGCAATTCAGAAGTAAGATAGGAGATAAAAACTTAAATGTATACTTGTAAGTGCTTTACAGATTACAAAGCCCTTTCGCATACATCATCTCTTTGAGCTTCTTGATAATAATGAGGTAGTCAGGACATGATTGTCCCCAATTTACAGATGAAGAAATTAGGTCATAAGGTCAAATGAGTCCCTTCAGTTTCCCCTTTGATTTAGCAGCAAAACCTGGGTACACAAAAAACCCAGGTTTTTTGACTTGCAGTGCTTTCCTTTACCCAGGGCTACTTCTCTTTAAAGAAGCTGTCAATCAGTAAGTAGAACAGCTTATTAAGCCTGAAAGAAACTGTTCTTCTTCTCTAACATGTGAGGAGGTGCTACTTAATAGTTTCATACCGCCTTTGTGATTGGAGCAGGTGAAATGATTAATTGGTACTGGTTCCTCCTCCCATCCCCTTCCTTGGTTGGGTTTAACTTGAGTGCCACGGTGTAGTACCTTTGTTTGCTTTGTGTTTTCCTCAAATGTGGTGTTTTGTGGCACTTCTTCTTTTGGTGATAAAGTTGTATCCCTTGTTTTCCTAGCATACTTTATTAGAGCTTACGACTTTTTAGAATCCAACCCTATACTGTAACTTCTTGTCTTAAGGCCCTGAAGAAATTGTTTACTTTGTTCTACTTTGAGTAACATAGGTAAGACTGTGCATGTGTTCCTCAAGTATGTAATGTAGAATTATTTTGTTCTGCCTGATAAGAGGTAATTTTGGTGCCCTTCAGGTACATAATGCTGGAAATAAACTTGGTAGACGTTGTGATATGTGTTCCAATTATGAAAAACAGTTACAAGGAATTCAGATTCAGGAGGCTGAAACAAGAGAACAGGTGAGTTTCTTTTGGGTATGCCAAATTGGTGAATGGTTGTAGTTTTCACTGAAGGTGCAGAATTGGTTTTTCCTCCCTCCAGTTTGCTTCATAAAGTGTATCCATCTTGTTAAATAAGAAATAACCTGGTACCCGCAATGTCAGTTACATTTCCAATGGGAGCCGCTAGAACCTCTGCTTTTGTGTATCTTTGCTTCGTTAGCTTGCCCACACAGCTGTTTTTTCAGAAGCACTGGTGCTTCTTCCCTCCCAACCTGCCCCTTCTGCCCAAGGCCTAGTAGTGATAGTGTCATGAGTGTATACACATGGAAAATGCTTATTGATATGCAAATTTAGGGAGATAAGAGGTTGACTGTTAAATGCTTAATTGAATATTAATCAGTATTTGGAATCTTGCTTATTGCCTACTTGTCATAAATTTTTTGAGTTGATTAGGTTGATTTACAGGGTCACAGAAATTAAGATAAGGTTGATCTGGTATGCTGAAATTGACAAGTACCTTTTACAAATACAGTCTCAAATAATGGCCTTTTTGATAACATTCAGGAAATAATGTAGAATTTCATGAGAGTAGGCTTGTGAAAGGATATGTAATGAAAAGATTGGTTTTTTCTTATATTTCCTAATTGTTCTTTCATTGTTATGAATTGTTTCCTTAATCTTCAAGATAAGTTTAAGCATATTAGAATGATGGTTTAATATTTTCAGATGCCATTGGCATTGATTTCCTGCATATATGCATGCTTCAGCTGTTGCTTGGCATTTCGCTAAAGTCCTCGGTATTCAGTAGTTTGTTCCTGAGCTGGACACATTGAACTAGAGGAGGGACAGGGGCATCTGACTTAACTTTGGGTTCAGTTGAGTAACACTTGTGGGTAACACTTGAACTAAACTTCTTTTAGAGCTGGAGTAAAATTAACTAGGAAAAGAAGTGGGGAAAGAGTGTTCAATAAGAGGAAAGCTGTACAAAAGGATAGAATTATGACGGAAAATGATATATTCTAGGAAGTATGAATAATACATGTTGCTGGGCAAAGTGTGAGTGTATGTGTGCATGTGTGATAAAATAACAGGTGAGGAAACTACAGAGGGATAGTCATGATGAGATTACTGAGGGAGGGGAGATGATTGAAGTGATTTAAACTTTACCCTGAAGACTTTAGGAGACATTTAGGGATTAAGTAGGGAAATGGTAACGTGACTTGACTTTTGTTTTAGAAAACATATGGCATTAGTATGGATTAGAGATTGGAGGCAGAGGATATACTAGAGTCAGCGAGGCCAGTGTCGTAGCCCAGAGGACCCAGGAGGACAAGCAGATGTTTAAAATGGGATAATACATGTGAGAAATGATTTGTTAACTGTAAGCATAATAAAGCCATCAAATTAGGTCATTCATCTCTTTGTTTTCTGAATTGACAAATCTATGACATTTTTCAGGGAAAGAAAAGATTAAATTTTTAAAAAAAATTTTGGAGTTATGGAGTTTTTCATTTTATAAAAGAATTCTGGTATTTCCTTCTGATTGACTTTTCAAATTGCATAGGTGAAAAAACTACAGGTGATGCTAAGGCAAGCAAATGACCAGTTAGAGAAGACGATGAAAGATAAACAGGAACTGGAAGACTTCATAAAGCAGAGTGCTGAAGATTCAAGTCATCAGGTAAATACGGGTTTTTAGAATGTGACCAATGGCAGATGACTGGGTTGTTTAAATTGAAAAATCCCGAAAATATAATGTTTCTTTCTTGTCCTGAAGATTTGGCAGTTCTGTTTTCCTTCTTACTGTTGTTTTTTTCTGCTGTTTTTACAGATTGAAAAACAAAAACTTTAAAAATAACTGGTTAATTTATATTAGGAGGCAGGTTCTCCTACCCGTTTGTTTTTTATTTGTTTTTTCTGATGCACAATAAATTTGCTGATAAGAAAGATGCTAATTATATTCTTTATGACTTTTTAAGAAGCATAGTATTCTTAGTAAAAACCAAACATACCAGAACTAACATCTGTGTAATCACCATCCAGATCAAGTAATAGAATATTAGCCAGTACCACAGAAGCCTTCATTTGCCCCTCCACTTACTACCCCTTCCCCAGAGTAACCACTGTCCTAACTTCTAACACCATTAGATTAGTTTTGTCTGTTATTTTTTAAATTTTAACAAATGAATCATATAATTTGTATTCTTTTGTGCTTGTTTTCCTCCATTCAACATGTGAGATTCATACTTGAGGTGCATGTAGCAGTATGTTCGTTTTCATTGTTATGTAATTTTACCATTGTATGGCTATATCACAATTTATATGTCACAGTGAGTATTTGGATTGTTTCCAGTTATGGGATATTATGAATAATGCTACTTTGAAATTTTTCTATGGGGCTTGTTGCACATGTTTCTGGTGGGTATATGCCTAGGAGTGAAATGCCTGGGTTGAAATGTTCAAAATGTATGTCAACTTCAGTAGATACTAGTGCCAGAAAGTTTTACAATGCGGTTGTATGAATTTATACTCCCCCCAGCAATATATAAGAAGAATTTCTGTGGGTCCACAGCATTGACAAATTTCATTGTGTTATTTTAATTATAGCCATTTTGGTGGATGTATAATGCTATTTCACTGTGGCTTAGTTTGCATGTCTCCGATGACCATTGAGGTTATTTAGCATCTTTCATGTTAATTGGCTATTGGGATATCGTTTTGTGTGTGTATGAGAGTGTCCTTCTCAAGTTGTATGTTCATTTTTTCTATTTGCATTGTGTGTTTAAAATTTTTTAAAAGTTACTTGTTTTTCTGATTTGTTAGTTCATATATCAATATATGTGTTTATATTGTGTGTGTGTGTGTGTGTGTGTGTGTGTGTGTGTAAAATCTTATTGGTAGCTTTTAGTGATTTGTGTTGCAAATGTCCTCTATCCAGTATCTTGGTTTCATTATTTTAGTGGTGGCTTTTGATGAACAGAAGTTCTTAAGCTTAATGTAGTTAAACTTATTGGTCTTTTCTTTATGAATAGTGACTGTTGACTTGGTGTTTTAAAAAAGATTTTATTTTTAGAGAGGGGGGGAAGGAAGAGAGAGGGAGAGAAACATCAGTATGTGAGAAATACATCTATTGGTTGCCTCCTGCATGTGCCCTGACTGGGAATTGAACCAGTGACCTTTCACCTCGCAGGCTGGCACTCAGTCCACTGAGCCACAACAGCCATGGCTTGATTCAGTTTTTCAAAGAATGTTTTCTTACATTGGAGCTATGAAAATATTTTTCTATATTTTGTAGAAAATTTATTGTTATACCCACTCATTTATAGATGAAATCTATCTAGAAAGGACTTTTATGTATCTGCTGTAGATAAGGTTAAACTTTTATTTATTTTCATATGGATATCCAGTTCCTAAGTAATTTAGTGAAAACATCATCCTCTCTCTGCTGTTCTGCAAAGCCATCTTTGTCATCTATCAAGTGCATTTACAGGTATGTGTGTTGTCAGTTTTGGAACTCAGTTCCATTAGATTGGTGTTTTTGTCTATTTTTGTGCCAAATCTTACACTGTAATTTATAGTAAAATCTGTATTTGGTTCTCTTGTATAGTTTTTATTTTTCTGCTGAGAACTATGTTTTCATTCATTTCAGAAGTATTTACCTGTACCTCATGCAGCATAGTTATAATAACTAAAGTTTTTGGTAATTCCAACTGAGGCCATTATGGAGTTGGCATCTGTTGAGTTTCTTTCCTCTTGAAAATTGGTCACATCTTCCTGATTCTTTCCATGTCAGCTACTTTTAGATTGTATCCTGGGAATTATGAGTATTTTATTGCAAAACTTTGGGTCTGTTTAAATGATTAGGTTCAGTTCACAAGTTCTGTCCTGCCTTCTGTGAGTGGTAGTACTAATGTCAGTTCATTTTTAAAAGTGATACTGCTTTTGATCTGTCCATGCATATATAGCTTAGGGTGAGCGTAGTTCTTGAGATGGTTTACAAGTTCTGTTCATAAAGTATCGAGCCATGTAATCTGAAAAATAGAGACATTCATTGAAGAAGATAAAAGATACACGAAACATTGTCCATAGGACAGTGACGCCTCAGTCCTCTTCAAAGTAGGCACCTTGGGATTTCACACAGGTCTCCCAGCTTCTCTTCCCAGAGTGTTCAAAACACTGCAAAATCCTTTGTTGGAATAGCCATCAGCTGTCCCATTGTATTTTCCTGAATCTCATCGACAGTCTGAGATCTCTTCCCTTTCAAAGGTGATTTTAGTTTTGGGAAAAGCCAGAAGTCACAGGGTGCCAGATCTGGGTTGTAGGCGCCTGAGTCATCTGGGTGACTTGATGTTTTGCCAAAAAGCTCTGCACAAGATGTGATGCATGAGTGGGAGCATTTTTGTGATGAAGGTGGCAGTCACCAGTTGCCCATAGATGCAGCTGTTTTCATCATACTGCATCTCTTAGCCAGTGAAGAACACTGAAGTTGTACTCCATATTAATTATTTGGCCTGGAGGGGCATACTCATGATGGACAACACCTCCCCAATCAAAGAACAAAATTAGCATGGTTTTGATTTTGTTGTGACTTTGCTGTTCCTTCTTCAGGTGTGGAGAAGCAGGCAATTTCCGTTCGGACTGGGCCTTCATTTCCAGATCATAGCTGTAGACACACGATTCATCTCTGGTTATGACTTTCTTGAGAAATCTGGTTTATTGGTAGTGGTTTGAATCAAGTCATTAGCAACTGTGGCATGATGTTCCTTTTGCTCTGGTAGCAGAAGCTATACACTGAATTTTGCCACGACACATTTCATGCCAAGATCCTGCATCAAAATCTCGGACACAGTACTTTCTGGAATCCCCAGATCAGCTTCTAGTTCTCACACGATCAGTTGCCAATCTTTGTTTATTGCAGCCTGTACATGTTCAACGTTCTCAGGTGTTCTGCTTATTGCAGGCCTTCCAGAACGTGGATCACTTTGAACAGATTCTCAACCATCTTTGAAATGTTTGTGCCACATTTTTGTTTGTGCTGTACTCATTGCATCATCTCTGAAAGCCTTCTGAATCATCTGAATTGTTTCTGTGGAGGAGTGTTCAAGCTTAATGAAAAATTTGATGCAGATCTGTTGCTCTATTCGCTCAGTCATTTTGAATGCAACAGCCACACAGTACACATGCTCACTCAGTGACGTCTACTGCCCCCACTGACTGGTGCAGTGAAGTTGTCATTGTTCATGTATGTGCATTCCAGTCCACCCTCTTTATCATCGATGCTGTGCAAAGTGTTCTCATTATATTAATAATGGCTGGACTTTTTCCGGACAGACCTTGTATACATAGATTTAAGGGATCCTTTTTCTTGCTCTCTCCTCTCTGAGAATACATCTGCTCTTCAGTTAACAGGACCCTGTCCTGGTCCTGTGGTCAGAAAGACAGTTTTCACTGTGGTGGGTGTGACTCAGTAGAGAGAGTGCCAGCCTGTGAAGTGGAAGGTCACTGGTTCCATTGCTGGTCAGGGCACATGCCTGGGTTGCGGGCCAGGTCCCCAGCTGGGGCCATCCGGCTGATCAATGTTTCTCTCTCTCCTTTTCTCCTTCCCTTCCCTTCGTTCTAAAAATAAATAAAATCTTAAAAAAAAATTTTCTCTCCTGCGCTGCTTGCAGCTCTTGCAGCTTTACAACCGTGGCAGCGCTCAGATTAATGCTGGCAAGAAAGTAGAACAACCCAAATAAACAGTAAACTGTACTCCTGTATGAATTGCTTCTTCCTATTTTGATTTCCCTCCCTAAACTGTTTACTTCTGCTTATTTTTTAGAGTCCTCAGGTGGCTGCCTTTGGTATTTTTATCCACAGTTTTTAGTTGTAATCACGGGAGTGAAAGGCCATAGTGGTCTTAGTCAACCTTGGACAGCACTGAAGTCTTTTCTCTCATATTTTTGTTTCCCAGACATCCCTTTTTCTTTCATTCAAGAAAAATACTTTTTCCAACTATAGAATTCTGAGCACTTATGTTATTTTTTTCTCAGCACTTTGAAGATATTTTTCCATTGCTTCTGGCTTCCATGTTTCTAATGAGAAGTCAGCTATTAGTCATTCTTGCTCCTTTGGAGGGAAAATGTTATTTTTTTCCCCCAGCTATTTTAAAGTTTTGTTTTGTTTTGCTTTTGTTTTTGGCAGTTGTAGTGTGTTATACTGAGGTGTGTTTTTGTTCATATTTTTCCTGTTTGGGGTTCACAGGGTCTCTGGAATCTCTGAATTGATGTCTTATGTCATAACTGGAATATCTTCAGCCATTATATCTGTTGAAAAAGCCTTTTTCTTGAGATACCCATACATTAAAATGCAAAAATCTCAAGTGTATAGCTAGATAAATTTTAACATATTAAAAGTATTACCAGGATGATCATCACCTGGATCAAGATACAGAACATTTCCAAAACACTCATACTCATTCCTAATAAATATCCCACCTTCATAAAATAGAGGTAGCCACTATTTTGACTTTAATAGTATTATGTTTTAGGAATGCTTGTTCTTGAATATCATATAAATAGAATCATACAATTTGTGGCCTTTTGCATCTGGTCTATTTTTTAAAAAAATTTTTATTTTTTCAATTGCAATTGACATATATTGGTATTTTATCCACAGTTTTAGGTATGCAACCTTGTAACT